AATTAAAATAACAAAAACATTTAAAATAACAAAAACATAATAAAATCTTTTTAAGATATAAATACTTATTGAAACTTAATTTATTATACAAGGATAGATGAAGATATTAACTCTTATATTTATGGTAAAACATAATACACTTGTTCTAAAGCATTATTTAGCACGTAGATTGGAAATGGATATTGATAGCCTGATGATCATAAACATAAAATGCTAGCTTAATATATCTCTTGTTCCATATTTAGTATTTTAACCTCGAGGTATTAATTAGACTCAATGCTAATTAACTACCATTTCCTTCAACTACTTTGAAATATATATATATATATACATATACAAGAAAGCTTAGGAACCATCTAATTATAACATGATAAAAAAGGAAGTTATATTGATGAGTTCCACTAATAGCTTGTAACTTTTGTTGTCATCTCGTTATTGGTTTTTTTTTTTTTTACTTGTCAAATTAAATAGCATTTTTGTTTAATGACTAGCATGATTATCTAGCACTTCAATGCTTTTTTTAAATTTTTTACCAACTAGTATATTGATTCTAATCCATACTATCTTTATTTTTTAAAAAACATTGAATATTTTTTGGCTAATCAAGTCAAACCTCTCTTGAATTTTAATCTAGTTGAAAATCAATTCTTAAATTTTTAATTTCGGATTTGACCTCCTCTAATTTTTTTTTGTTTTTATAGATTTAGTTCATTCTTTAGTTTTTTTTTAAATAAAAAATAATAGTCATATAAATGAATTTATTATAAAAATCATTCGGTAAGATTTATCCGAAGCTTTAAAAAATTTGAGATTATTCTAAATTATTTGCTTTTTTATTGTCTTCTATAGTTTTAGTGTTCAAAAAAAAAATCATAATAAATACTTTTCAATTTTAAAATTTTCTAACATGTGTGCAAAATTTCAACTCAAATACTAAGAATTGAATTTTTTAAAGAGAAAGTTGACAACTAAAAATCATAAGATGAACTAAATCTCAACATAATAATAATAAAGTTAAAAGAAATCAAATTTGAAATTAAAATTTCAGGAAATTAATTTTCAAATGAATTAAAATTCGAGAGGAGGTGTGGTCCATTTAGCCATATATATATATATCAAGCATATATACTTTTAACTTCAATTATTTTTATCATAATTTTTTTTTTGAAAATAATTTCAAAATTATCACTCGAAGTCTATAAATCAAGTGAAATGAACTGCGGAGAGAGGCCAACTAGCTACTCGAGTTTATGATTTCAAAGAAATAGAGATTATATGTAGTGGTGTATACACATACATACACACAAACATGCATCACAAGCGTACTTACTATTGCTATTTAAATTAATGAATCCGAATATGTTACGTATTCTAATTCATAAGTGTAATTATCAATGTAAAAGGCCAATAGTACTTGGTTATGACTCATCAAATGAGTATAAACATTCCTAACCGATGCATGAGCATCTCTCTTAACGTGACCAAAAGTTTCCACATTATAGTGGCCAAAAATTCCAACTAGTTATCCTATCTTTATTTTATTATTTTTTATTTATTTGAGTTGGATATTATTTATTTAAGTTATTTTATGTGTGTGAACTTGGGCTAATTAATTAGTTCTTATGATTTTTAGATTTTCTATTTATTTAGGGACATGGTTGAATATGTGTGGTCTATATGGGTAATTAGATCCTTGTGTATTATTAATTCTTATTTGTTTATGAATCTATGTAATATGTGGATCTATATTTAATTAGGCTAACTTAACTAAGTCCTAAATGAATGTGGATTATATAAAGTTCAATTATTTTAATTATTAGGGAAATCGGCGTAAGGAAGGAAATTTCAACCTAGCCGTAGCTCCTAGGATTTTGAAGAATGAGTATTTAAACACTTTTTGTGTGTCTCTATTGTCAAAATCTTTTGATAAAATTTTGAATGAAAAATTAAAGAATTTTCTCTCGTAACTTTTTTGTGTATTTTCTTTTACTTGGATGGCTAGAACATCGTGAAACACATCTTTAGAGTAATCAATTAAGATGGGCTCTAAACAATTACGTTAGGTGAATTCTTGGCAAACGAATCTCGTGAGTACTTTTTAAATCATCTTTGGATGATGGACTCTTCTCAAGAACGAGACATTGAGGCTTGCACTTTTATTTGTTTGATTGTTAATTGAAGATTGACTTAAATTTGAAGACCGAATAGTTTTGATCTCAAAGCTTATAACTAAGGTTATAAATTTTTAATTGCGAGTGAAATTTTGATAGTCTTTTATTGATTTAATCGAACTTATGTAAAACAATCATAAAAAAAATATTTGATCATTTTTGGTTATTGAAGTCACAATTTTTGGATCTTATATATTCTATCTAAAATTTCAACTTCCTTAAATAATAATCTATAGAGTTTGGATTGACTTGAAATTTGGTACACGCATACTACTAACTTTATCTACGTTTTGGTAAATTTTGAACTTATTCCGAGTTGTTTTGCCTAAGTAACACATTAACCCTAATCGACAATCTTGTAGTTGTTATTTGGTGATTTTAGTATTATACTTGTCTTTGTGTTTGTGAAATTATTTGTTTGTGAAATGCTTTGTGATTGAGAATTGTTTTGAGAGGATTTTGAGACTAGTTAGTTATTGGAGTGTGTTGTTCTTAGCACGCAAAAGAAACATAATTAAATAATAAAAATTAACACAATAAATAAATAAATTTATCATAAATTAAGATGGACAAAAATTGAAATCGAGTTATTATATGTCATGGTATAAAGATGACCGAATGATCAAAATAGTTTTACCATAATTTTTAAATGATCGACTCAAGGCACAATCGGATTACTTTCTTGAGATGATACATGTCATCCACGAAATTTATTCAATGCAACTAATTAAGAATATATTGCACGTCATCTCTATGATACAACAAGCTTAGCTACCTTATCGTGTCTTAATAAGTTTGTATTACTTGTAAGACTCGAAATTCTAAATAATACAGTACTACTCTTACCCAAAGATAATATAAATAAAAATAATATGCCTTTTTAATGGAAGGCAAAAGCAAACAAAATTGAAAGAAGTATTTTCTCTCTAAACAAAATAAAGAAAACATGCTGATATTTTTTCTGTCTAAACAAGATAAGAATTGTTGTTTGAAATGACAAGAGAGTGTCATATTTATAAGCTAGAAGAAGGTAGCCATTTGGGAAGAATTTAATGTATTCATTTAAAGAAATTAATGGCTAATATAATGTACATTAAATTTAATGAAAGAATATTAAAAAATTCAATGAAAAAATCTTATAAAAATTAATGAAAAAAGAGTGTTTTGGTTTAGAACTATTCTGTTAGTAATTTTGTGTTTGAGTTTTTGTATAGTTATGCATCTCTCGATCCAGTAACACTAGCTCTTTAATTTCAATGTTTTCCCAAATTCGTTGGTTATGACGAGCACTAAAGAAAATATATTATATAATCAAAGTTAGTTAATTTGATATTGAAGTCACAAAGACTGTCCTATGATGATTTCGTATTAACTCACTAATACTACGGCTAGCAAGTGTAGAAAACAAGATGTCCTCACTAGTATTATCTGAAATTTCCTACCAAAGTGTATGGCCATGTTATAAGTTATTGCCAAGATATGCTAAAAATAGTGAAGGACTAGAGCAAGGTACACAAATAATTATGTTTCAGAAAACATGCATGTAAGCATGCAATCAAATGGAGAGAGTGAATGCTTGTGTGTGCGCTTTGATCTGCCCCTATGTGGGGGAGAGAGAGAGAGAGAGAGAGAGAGAGAGAGAGAGAGAGAGAGTACTAGCTTGCTAGTGGACGATGTACCATCCCTTCCCATCCTCACCAGAGAGAAAAACAGTAACCTTTTTCCTACATTGGATTCAACAAACCCTAGCAGGTAAAAGAAAAAAAGACAAAGGATATTAAGTTAGCGAAAAGACAATTCCTAATAAATACCAAAAGCTAATCGTACATCGCAAGTGGGAACCATTAGTTTTTGGTTCATCTATCCCTACGCTAGCAAACAACAAAAACAACATATGCATCGCTGTGCCGCATTACAGGGCATTTTGTTCATCTATCTCTTAGCCAGCTAGCTTAGCAATCAAATCATGCAGGTTTCATTAATCATCAAACTGCACGAAAGTTAAGGCTACTTTCAACAAAATAGGGACACACTACGTGGTGTAATTTTATATAATGAATTAATGACCGTTTTATTTGATTCCTTATGATTAAATATCTTCACTTTGGAGGAGGTTAGTTCACCTAGAAAATCTTGAATACTAACTTTGGGGATCCCTTAGAAAACAAACTGAACCATTAGTTTTTGGTTTAGGTCCATAGCTAACCACATTTTCACAGACAATGACCAGTCGAAAATTAATAGAGCATGCTTTTCACATCACCTCTAGGGAGTGTTCGGTTTCAGGGTTGGGCCTTCCTTGCTAGCTAGCTAGTTTCACTTGGAACTTTTCTTGTGATGGTCCTTGCTTGGAGCTAACTATATTATATAAGATTAAATAAGTTGGGTCCCACAACAATGTTTCTTGCACTTCTAGCCTGGATCTTCTGCTTCAATTTTCAGCACCAAACTTGTAAAAGAGCTTACTCAAAAAGAAAACACTTGTAAAGTTAACTAATCGGTAGCAGTAGAGATAAAGGAAGAAAATAGTAATCAGTATGAACATTTCTTGCAAGTTGCAGCCCTCTTCATTATTACCCTACATGGAAGAAGAGAATGAGTTGTAGCGCAACAGACATTAGTGCTCTCACTATCTTCGAAAGGTCTCGAATTCAAACCTTTACTTACCAAAAAAAAAAAAAAAAAAAATCTACACAAAACAAGGTTAATTACACAAAGTGGCACTAACCACAAGATTAATTACATACGATACAACATGGAAGAAACAGACGATAAATTAGTACGAGCAAACTGGCCAAAGATACCTTACTCAAATTACTTTGCATAGCTCTATCGACATCCATTTGAGTAAGCTTCACACCATAAATTTGATGGCATTATTCCTGAAACATTCTCCAACATCTGAGGCATGAAAATATCATCAAAAGATTCAAATGAAACATCTTGTCTTTTAGGCTGCTCTTGACTAGGATCCTTTGTGGGGACATCTAGTGCATGATCATCATCATCATCATCATCAACAGTCTTTGAAGCATCCGTTTGATAATTTCCACCGACATCACTGTCCAGAAACTTAGTAAGGTCTGGCAATTCAGAATCTTGGCCAGTGAGTTCTTGAACCAAAGCCCTAAATCCAGATGCACTAGTCTTGAACTTCATGGGGTTGGATATGTACACTACTTTCATAGGCTTTTTCTTGGTTTTAGCTTTTATGTTTGCTTTTCTTTCTTGCACACTACCACCTGCCAAGTTACTATGATTGTTATCCATGATCGTAAAGATAGATGGATAAACTTTGAGATCACAAGGGTGGCACTATATTTGCATAAAAAGATGATTGTGGACAAGTTAGGGACAGATTCTTGAGGATGGCAAAGGAGGTTTCTGAGAAAGACAAAAAAGTGAGAGATAAGAGATGAATTTGGAAGCTCAAAGGAGGGGACGTTTTGATGGTGCAAATACAAGCAAACAAGAAGTTTGGGTGAGAGATACAAGTCTCACTCGCACCAAAGCACGTCTGTTTTATAGCCTCCACAAGAATTTAGATTTTTTTAAAGAATTTTTTTATAGAAAGAAAATAGCGGATGTTTGAAGGAATGATTCTCTGGTTGTCTTAGAGTAAATTACAAATTAGTTTTTTAGTTTGAAAACCGAATTAATTTATCTCTATTGTTTTTAAAACTAGAGGAACTGATTAAGTTTTTTAAAAAATAAAAAAATAATTTATTATTTATTATCCTCTCTAAGTTAATAAAAATTATTTGTTTTATTTTAGGATTAATTGACTAGTTTTCACATGATCAGTATAGTTCAAATACGAACTTATATAAATAATAATAATAATTTTAAAGTAATTAAGTTATAAAACAATTTAAAATATATACTGAAATCAACAATAATAAAAGAAAAATTTATCAATGATATCATTTAAAGACTTTTTTTAATAATTATATAAAAAAAATGACATGTTTTAATTTGGAGAGATACCATTTGATCCTCTATATATGATAACATTTGGTACCTAAATTACATTAATATTGTGCTATATGCTAGAATAAAAGCAATATTTATATTTTGAATTATTAAACAATTTTATATAAGAATTATTCTTATTTTTAATTTAAAAAATTCAATACTAATAACACGTGTTTGAAATGAACTGTGGAAACCAAAAAAGACGACAATTGAATTACTTAATTATTTCAACTTCCTTGGTCAGTTTGGTTTTCCATTGATTTTTTTTTTTTTTTTTTTTTTTTTTTTTCTAATTACAAATCAATCCATATCATTACCGTCGCACTCATGCAAATTGTGCGATGATACTACGAAAATTGAAATAACGTGTTTACACGCGCCTAAGGTTCACGTGAAAGCAAAAGGGCTAGTGGCAGCTGGGAGTTATCAGCGGATCAAGATTTATCACGTGGCATTCATCCAAGGGCTGGTTGATGTTTCTGACGTCATCGCAGCCCCAGCTGATGACATCATAGCTGTAATGAATCAAGGCATTAGGCCCGGCTGCATGAATGATCTGATGTTGATCCTCATCATCATGTGTCATGGAACCTCTAGTGAATGTCACTCAAAATTCCACGTCATTTTATTACACAAATTATTCGACATTCCTTATATATTTGCTGTCTCATTAATTTAATGCATTTCCTAATTCTAACAACCTTTAATTTTATATTGATATATCTAAGATTTAAAATAGCAGTTATTTTTTTCTATACTTTAATATTTATGAATTAATTTTTAAAAAATACAAGCTATTGATTAGAATAACTTTTTTCCTTCTTAAAACTTAGAATTAAGCTCGTAAACGTTGCAAATTTTGTCACTGAATAAATCGTGGCACTATTTTTTGGTACCAAATTTTATCAAGTGATATATATATATATATATATCATAAAATGAATTGTATTGATATTTTATTAGTATTTTTTTTTATTTTCAAAGAAAAATAAACTAATTATTTAATTATAATTTGAAGTTATAGAATTCAAAGTAATTGGGGAACACATGAAAACAAGCTATCATTGGTCGATTTCTACAACAAACGTTAGAGCAAAAATATAGCAAAATGTTAATGAATTTAACTCAAATAATAATAATATCCTTTTTTTTTATAGTAAATTTCCTATTCGAATATATATATATATATGTAAGTTTACGAGAATATCTGATTATTCTACTTATCATGTTACATGAAGATCTAACTAAGGTATTTCAAGTGATATTTAATTAAGATATTCCTTCACCAAAGATAACAAGCAGAAAAAAAAAAATGATCCAAATTGTTTGAAAGAAAGTTTGGATCATTATGTGCAAAAAGGACTATTTATCCTTATCTTAATTCTTGGTTTATCCTTATCGTAATTTATTCAATTGATTTTTTATATTTTTTATTTACATTATATTGACTAATTTTTTCAATTATCACATATGGCATAAAATAAACCGTAAGAGTAAGCCACGTATAACACCTAAAATAGAAATCTTTTATGTTCATTATATAATATAGTCATATAGATAGTAATCCATAATAATGCATTTGATAACCAAATGATCACACATCCACGAAGAATTTTGTTTCGTCAACACAGATCATTCAAAAACATTATCTTTTTGTAAAACTATAATTAAATATTTGACTGACTAACACGTCCATATCTTGTCTGTTTTGATGTATCTTGTTTTTTTCCATTCAATGATCATTCTCCATCAAACTGTTACCTTCTAGCTAGGAAAAAGAAAAAGTTATTTGTTTCGTACCAAAGCTAGTCTCTGAATTCTGATGTAATCCTTTTTAAGGACGTTTGGATATATCAACATATCATTAGCCGAATTCCACTCTTTATTTCAAGTTTCATTCTTTAATAGCTTGCGTTAATGCTTTTTATGAAGCACCCAACATGATTTTTTTTTTTGACAAAAAAAAAAAAGATTGGATAAAAAACCAGGTATAATCAGGCATAACTGATTTTAATTCATAAAAAATTGGATGCAAGTATATAAAATAAATTTACTACTAAATTCACGAGTTATATAGTTATTTTTATCTTTTTTTTCTAAATAATTATCAATACATTCTTCAACAATTGATAACTATTATGTAACAAATAGTAATAAAAAGTATATTTTTAATTTAAAATAATGATGGAACAATTTTGTTAACAAATTTAACCATACTCATAAAAGAATAAAAAATATATATATATTGAATTTCGTTGGATAATGATCTATGACCATGACAAAACTAACAATATTTCTATGGTAAAAAAAATTTCTTGTCTTGATTAATATCAATGGACCACGTAAATTAACTCAGATACATCCCTTCTTGGATCTCCCACGAGACGAGCAATTTGGAAGTAGGGTTTTGTAAAGAAAGGATGTTAGTTTTGTCAAATTTTTGGGCGGACAATATCTTCGGTTAGGTTTAGTGTAGGAAGTCACACACACATGCAGAAGAAACTCAAGCTGGTCGCACGTGTTTTGACTTTCCTTTACATTTAAAAAGAATCCAACCACGCAACTGACCGCGTGATAATTTTGTTTCCTTTACTTTTTTTTGTTTTTTTGTTCGATTAAAACTGACCATGTGATATAAAGGAGACAATAAAGTGAAAACGTATTTGTTAAGAATCTATGCTGAATAAAGAACTAGCCGGCCGACATAGCATTACTTTAGTAGAATTTAAACGTATGCTGCTGCGGGAAGAGTAATTTTTCAGCCTTGTATGATTAGGGCTTTAACATGTCCTTTATATATATATAGTTTAACTAGAATTCTAGACAATACAATGGATAAGAATCGAGAGTACAAGTAATTAACAAACTCCGTAGCGAGTTCTTATAAGTAACAAATTCTAACGCCGCAATGAGAGTTTATCTTTGAAGTGAAGCAGAGCTTATTGTGGTCGGCTCTTGTCTCAATACTCCCTCACAACCGACTATGGACGGGTTCCAACGGTGAGTTTGTCCCTTAAGAATTCAAATCGAGCGAGTTGAAAGAGGTTTGGTTAGAATATCTCCAATTTGATCCTGTGTGGAAATGAACTTTACTTGCAAGCTCCCCTCGCAATCATGTCTCTAACGAAATGAAAATCAATTTTCACGTGTTTAATTTGTGCATGGAACATTGGGTTTATTGCCAAATAAGTAGCTCTAATATTATCACACCAAATAATCGACTTATAAGTGGTGTGGAGTCAAGCTCACCTAGTAAAGACATGACCCAAGTGATTTCGGTACGCAAGATCCGCGACGACTTTGTACTCGACTTTGGTAGAGTCGTGGGCTATTTTCTTCTCGCTAGAGGATTTCTAAGTGATTAAATTCGATTATAAGTAGACAACATATCCCTTGTAGATTTTTTATTATCCAAAGAACTCGCCTAATCCGAATTGAGAAGCTCGTTAGTAGTTGAGAGTTGGATTTTTGATCGTGCAAACCATAAGTATATGTGTACTTTAGGTATCGTAAGATGCGTTTAACAACCACCCAATGTTCTAAAGTAAGTTGATGCATGAATTGACACACTTTGTTCACGAGCATATGTAATATCCGATCTAGTCAAAGTAGCATATTGAAGGGCACCTACAACCTGTCTATATAAAGTCCGATCGGAGAAGAATTCAGCGATCTCCATTTTTCGGCTTTAAAGTGGTGGGCATGGGTGTGGTGATGGGGCAACGATCAAGCATTCCTCGTTTAGTAAGAAGATCATAGATATATTTCGTTGAGACAATATAATACCCGTCGATGTTTTAATCACCTCTATGCCCAAAAAGAAGCTAATATCACCAAGGTCTCGTGTAGTAAATTTGGAGTTTAGAGCATGTATTATTGTCTCTTAAAAAGCCGAATGGTCATTAGAATGATAATGTCGTCGACCTAAACTCGCAAGAATGCTTTGTAACCCTCATTTTTGTAAATAAATAGAGAAGAATCTGTTTTAGACCCCTCAAAGCTAAAATTTAGGAGAAAGTCCCGAAGACAAGAGTACCAAGCCCGTGAAGACTATTTAAGACCATAGAGAGAACGATGCGACTTGTAGACGTAGTCAAGGAATTAGGAGTTAACAAAGACCACTTGGTTGGGCCATATAGACTCGCTTCATGTAATGTGCCATTTAGGAATGCATTGTGTATATCGAGTTGCTTGATGGGCTAATTGTATGAGACTACTAGGACGTAACAACTCGATAGTCGTGGGCTCGACCACTAGACTAAAAGTTTTCCCAAAATCAATCCCCTCCCGTTGGT